CCCCCCCCCCCCCCCCCCCCCCCCCCCCCCCCCTCCTCTCGTCCCTCTCTTTCCGGTGCCCTCTCCGCCCGTGAAAATGACGATATTTACAATTGATATGTCGGTTTCGACAGGCGTCGTACTCTATCGACGAGAACCTGTACCACACTTCTTACGAGAGCGGCATCCTGGAGGACCCCATGACCGCCCCCCCGCCGGAGATGTTCAAGATGACTGTCGACCCCCTCAAGGTACAGTCATCGTGTTGGTGGATGATGTTGGGTTAAGCCATGCAGTCTGGACCTTGGTCATGCTGTACGATCACGGAATGATGGACGTGAAACGTAGCACATACTGTGAGATATGCAGTATGTTCGCTGAGGGCTTGCAAGTTGAGTTGTTCAACCAACTCAAACAAAGCCGATCCTCGCAGCTGAACCCTAGCGTCGCCGAAGCACGCCGTAGTCGTTGGCAAGGCGCATCTAGATGTGGCTCGGCCTGCATCATTCTAACCAACTTGCGCACGCCACTCCAAAACAGGCAGAACGTTGAAGCGTTGTCAACCCTATTTCTCATGTTTTTTAGCCTGCGCCTCGAGCGGGGGCGCCAACACCATCTGTCTCAATGAGCCTGTGAATGTCGTCATACTGTCGTCTTTGTTGTTGCTGTTGATTATGATGTTGTTTCTGTCGTTGTATCTGTTATTACTATTGTTGCAGGCACCGGACAAGGTCGAATCTCTCAGGATCGAATTCGCGAAGGGAATCCCCGTCAAGGTGAACACAAAAACTTGACAAACTTCGGTCTTTCCGCGGTAGTGTAGAGAGTACCTGGACGCCACCGGGTACGATGCATGTATCAGTTTCCCGTACAGCATGCCCTGTGGACGGAGCATAGAAGACCGGGCTCGGTGCTTTATCCAGGATGTAGGAGTGGAGTCGCTTAGTTTGTAATTTCGATTTCTTGGTTGCATGCATGACATGTGCGCAAGGGCGTAACGTTGGCCATTATCCTCGTCCTCCTCCTGGTGTGAGGTAAGGCAACGCATACTCTCGGGATGGCTTTTGAAGTTTTTTTTGTTCGGATGTATATATACTGTAGGTGACAAACAAGACCGACGGAACCGTGAAGGACAAGCCGTTGGAGCTCTTCTGCTACCTGAACGAGGTTGCGGGCCGAAACGGGATCGGTCGCATCGACATCGTAGAGAATCGGTGAGAGCCAAGCAAATTCTTGCTCTGTAAAAGGTAGTCACGTCCAAAGCTTGCGCGCGCACGCACTATTCTCGTTTTATCTATTAGCTCAATAGTGATGGAGTGACAAGCGTTTGCAGCTCGCGCAGAAATGCAGGGTCCCATATCAGAATCATGTTTGGAAGTGGAAGGCCACCCAGGACGACCTTCACAACGGTGTATGGTACCATGTGTTGCATTGTCGAAAACGTAGATATGTTGGAGACACCAGAGAGCACGACCTTGAATGTGTAACCGTCGTCTCCAATGTAGCAAGAGCTGACCTGGAACAACCTATGGGCCGTGGTAATTGGCAAAATCGAAATCTACGACTGTGCTGATCTGTCCCTTGTCGGGATAAACAGGCTTCGAACATTCCGCGTTGACGGTTCACACACAGGGACCCGTCTGCCACTACTGTACACCTGTGGTACTGTATTGTCGTAAACATGCCTGCCTCCGGGTACTCGAACGGACGATTAGACATGTCAGCCTGCCGTCGGTCTCTTCTTCTTCCCCTTTTTATTTTCTCTTGTTCAAGGTTTGTGGGGATCAAGTCTCGAGGGATCTACGAGACTCCCGCGGGGACTCTTCTCCGAGAAGTCCACCTTGACCTGGAGGGGCTTTGCCTTGACAAGGAGGTGGGTCTTTTTTCTTCTTGTCGTTGTCTAGTGTGCCCGAGCTTTTTCGTTGTTGTGGTATGCGGCGAGGGATACCGTAGGTGACTCAAGATATCTCACCCCCTGGACTGATTTTCAAAGCTCGATTTCTCCACAGCAGAAATAGCGGCGTTGCAGCAAATCACGTCGTTGGCACCTTCTTGTTGAATACTTTCCGAAAATGCATCGTTTGCATCGTACATGTGCTTCGTCGTCATGTAGTGGAGCTCTGAAAGTCGGCCATGGGGGTGCGGTATCTTGCGTCATGCGTCACCGACGGTAACTGCTTGCGTATGCGCAACTTGGGTGGAGAAATGGGCGCGGCGCTGCCTACCTTGTTGGTTCTTAGGTGTCACTGGACTGCTGCTGGGCGCCGACGGCAGCCATGGTGTTGCTCTCTTTGTTCGTTAGGTCCCTGGGGTGGTAAAGGACTGCCGTCGGTCGCGCCGACACGAAAGAGGTTCGGCGTGAGTGTCGTTTTGGTTGTAAGGGATGCGTGTGACGAGAGACTGCGGTTGAGTGTCTTCCTTCTTGCCACTTGCACACGGGTGCTGCTGCGTACACAAGCTCCGACGAGTCAGGCAAGGGGTGGCGGAAAGCGGAACGTGAATCTCCATTTTGAGATGGGAGGGGTGTACCTATCTCTCTTGTCTTGTCTTGTTTTCGTGTGGTGGGCGACTGCGGCTCTTGTGCCTCGGCAAGAACAACGTTGGGCCTTGATGACGGTCTTGTTTCGTGAACGGCGTATCTACACAATGAGTGGCTACCTTCTCGGGCGAATGGAGGGAGGGAGCCGCCCGTTGGTTGGTTTAACCATGCTCCTGCGCGTCTGTCTCGCCCTCTCGCCCTCTCGCCCTCTCTACGCTTTGTCTCGCTCCGAGTGATGCGCAACTCAATATCAAAGCGCGGCAATTTGACTTGCTGTGGCGAGGTATGTAGTTGAACTGCAGCTCTTTTGTCGTTGGATGGCCCAAGGGTCTGGTTCCCCTCGCCATGCCATACACATGTGAAGAAATACGGCGTACGTTGCACAGCCGTTGCTTCCTCGCACCCCAGCCCCCCATTCCCCGGTGTTTGCGTTGTTTCGGCGTGTTTCGCTGCGACTTCGGAGTCGGGGGCAATTATGAGAGCTCCGGGCGCTGTTATTTATCGATCACGCCCGTGAGCTTTTATTTTATTGTTGTGTGGGACTTTTGTGGCTGGTGTGCTGCCACGGCAGTGCCAGAGTAAAGCAACTTAGGAAGGCTTAATTACCGTCGGGACCCCGTGAAATGTCACACTCTTTTGTGTGGCGTTTTGTTGTTTTCGATTGGCGACGTTTTGTCGCCGTTGGAGATGTCCCGTGGCCCGTCGACAGTCGTCTTCCAACATGACGAGTTCCCTCGTGAGCTTAATGCATATGGTCACGTGATGCTAACCTGCAACAGCAGTCATGCTGTCAATACGTTACAAGGAGGTTTAGGTAATCAATAATTAGCACTCCATAGCAGTCCAACATGCGTCGTGATAAAAGCAGACTGTGCTAAGTCATGGTAAGAGATGCCGCGAGTCTCTTACTGTGTGCACTTGGCATTTTTCTCATTCTTGGAAAAGAACGTTGTCCTTCGGCTGGTCGGTCGTTTTTCCCTTCTACTCTTTTCGTTTTTGCGCACGGACGAAGCCCTAGTTTTGTCCGTACCATCGGCCGACAAGACAAGCAGCTCACCGCAACGTGTTTCGATGTGTCTGTTGCTCTCTTGTCGTTCCTCGCCATGGCGTGGGATGTGGGTTAAACCATCGGGTGCGGTGGCGGCGGCGGTAACCCCAGGTTGTTCGCATCCGCGACCAGCTGAGCGAAGAGTTTGCTCGCCTTTGCTACAACGGCTTCTGGTGAGCATGTGTGTTTGTGTGTTTGTGTTGGCTTGTCGCCTTCGACGGGGTATCGGTGTTGTCTGTGATGGGACCCGGCTTCCCGATGTTTCGCGGTCTGTTTGCGGGAACACACAAGAGCAAAAGAACTATACAGACAGCACGGCACTTGGGTTCCCAATAGTGCGGTTACGAATGTCACCGGGGGGAACCGGCAAGTGCGGTCAAAATCGCCTTTTTGCATGGGTTTGGCGACCATCCTAACTCCCATGAGTTGTTGTTGTTGTTGACTTCACATTAAACCGTATGCCAGTTGCTAAATGCCAAAATCTAGCAAAGACTCTCAGCCCGTGGTCACGAAAGTGCTAGAGCCATCTGAGGATCTAAAGAACACGCACACGTAGCAAGAAAAAGGTATCCAAGAGCCCGAAGAGGTACTACTACACCTATATATA